TCCTGTCTAATTGGCCCTAGTATGTGTATGTATGATTGTAAGTTAGTGACTGATGTGAATGTACAATATACAGTATATGTAACGATCTGCATAAATTGACAGCGCTATATAAGTACTTGTAATAAATAAATAAATAAATGATGTCAAAAGTTGGGTAAGCACTATACATAATTGTACTGTGTACCCAGCTTATGCCTCCATGCACACTAGCACTTTTTTAAAGTGGTTGTATACTCCTTTTTAATACTTTTATCTACAGGTAAACTTATAATAAAGCATACCTGTAGGTAAAATAAATATCTTCTAAACGTGCACAGTTTAGGAGATATTGGCTCTTTTTGATAGCCGATGTATGCGCTCTGAAGGGATGGCACACCCATGCCGTTCCTTCAGAGCACTGTACCGTGGCCCCTCGTGACTTGGCCAGTCAGACAGCTGGAGCTCGCGAACCCAAAAGGAAGACCAGGTGAAGATGGAAGCCCTGTCATCAGTGACAGCTTGCTGCTGGAGGGCTTCATTTTTAAGGTAGGTCCTTCAAAATGTGCCAGTAGGCGATATATACTAGCACATTATGACATTACCTTGCAGGGGATTTTTTTTTTTTTTTTTTAACTACCGCTTTAAGCTCCTAGAAGCCGTTATCAGCAATTTTGTCTGCTCCTAGAAGCTTAATAGCGTTCTCCTATGTGTCCATGCACACTGATTTAGGCTAGTAGCATTTTTCAAGCTTCAGTTTTTAGGAGCATTTTTCCTGGAAGAAAAAATAAACGCTGAATGCTCTTAAACACCACTAAAACGCTTCTAACAGCTTTCTTCTAGCTTTTTTTTCTGCATGTACTGTAAAAATGATAATGAAATGCTAACACTCCTAAATGCTACTAAAATGCTAATACAAGCCATCACAAATACACTATTAGTGTTTTTTATCCAGTTTTTTTTTCTAGCTTTTTTTGAAAAAAAGTTTATAAAAAAAGCTGGTGTGCATAGTGCCTTAGATGTACTTGCCTTTATCAAAGCTTGCTCACCTTTATGTGTGTTCACATCAGTTTATATGCTTTTAGCCATGTTCAGAGGTGTCTAAACTGTCCTTGGATTTACAGCAATCTACTTTCTCTAAGGCTAGGTTCACAACTGTGCGGGTGGTGCCGCTGTGGATCCATATGAAAATCCGTGTAGCCGCACCACTTGCACAGAGGAATGAGGACCCGCGGGCACGCTGCCCGCACTGGAATATGCAGCCGTACTGGGAACCGAGATTCCCGTGTGGACTACGTTTTCAGAAGAAGTGTAGGGACTTCTTCCCTGCATGTCACGGGCACGGGAGTCCATTCAAATGAATGGGCTCTCGTGCCTGGGCAAAACGCGGCCCGGACATCCACATATATGTGAACCAGGGGTAAATGCAGCTGAATGCAGGTTAACTGACAGTGTGAATGATACCTTTTAAAAATCATTACATGCATTTATTTGCATTTATAAATGTCCTCCAAATGCATCAAATTGTGAGTTATTCAGTGCCAGTGTGAATGAGGCCTTGTGTTCTTGCACTTTGTACCCTGTAATTGCACCTTGTCTTACTAAATCAGATTGATGGAGTCATGTTTAAATCTAAGGCTGGCCATACATTATACAATTTTCTTGAGATTTTTGCTTTAGATTTACCAAAAACCATATAATATGAGGTCAAACCTAAACAACACTTTCACTTGTATCCAATTAGGCAGGCCCTTGCACTACATAGTTGAAGGTAAATCTAAAGGAAATTGGGCAGAAATTGGACAGAAAAATTGTATAGTGTATGCCCAGCCTAAGGCTTCATGCACATAGGCAAAAAATGCCCCAGAAATATCCTGGCAGAACGGTCTAGCATTCATAGAAGTATTTTAATACGCCTGTGTGAATGGGGCCTAATCCTGGCTGAACACATTATAAAATGAGTGTTTATATGGTTTTGAATGGCATTGTTTTATACATCGTGTTCTGTAAATGGAGCTAAAAGTACTCTTGGACTTCAGCTGTCTGTCTGCTCATTCATCACTGTGTTCAGCTACATTATACTGTACACCACTTTTCAAGTATAACAATTTCCCATAAAACAATAGCTCTCTGCAATTCCTTAAGAATCAGCAGAACACTGTGTTTTGTGATGTCCACTTGGCATGTTCCTGGATTGAAAGCGCAGCCGTTGTGACTTTCAGGAATAAGTGATGGCAGCATCCCCAGTAACACAACACTGCCTGAGAATAAAACAGACCATCTGATTCAGATCTGCCATAATGAAAGTCCAGCATGGGGCTGAATGAGTTTCCACCTCTGCTGACTGAGGGGCTAATGACAAACATCTCCCAGGGCTCTTTACTGCTGTTGCTAGCTTTTTAGGGCATATGGCATTTGGTTACATGCCTGTCTGCAGAGATTTCTACTCTGTGATACTCGGGAGTGTGCTGCTCTCTCTATGACTGTGTACAATCCTTAGGCAGCATTTTAAAGTTTTCAGCAGTCTGAAGAAAAATTTGCTTTTTTTTTTTTTATAATAAAACTTAGTCTGAGTATGCATTAGGTACATTTTTAAACTTCTAATAATTCTTTAAAATAAATAATTGCATATTCAAGGTATATGTCCAGCCAAAACTTTTTTCTTAGTTTTGGATATAGTGGGGAATCATTAGAATTGAGTTTTATTGTTATTCAGGGCTCGCTTACAAATATGTACCTCCACTTCTTGTCCTACTGACAATATTTTACCAGGCAGAAAGTGAGAGGAACTTTTAAAAAGCAACACAGAAATAAAAAGGCTTTGTTTAAAAGAATAGGTGAGGGCTAAAACATGTCAGATTTTTTATATTCAACTCTTTTTTATTGTTTTAAATAGACAAGGAAAACAAGGTACACAGAACCTGGACATCCTCAGGTTCACATTATAGTATGCAGAAATATACACATGAATAGAAAAAGGTGTACAGGTATGGTAAAAGGTATTGCTATATGAACTCAAGTGGGGGAGGGGATGGGAGAGAAGGAGGGGTATGGTATGGGGGGGAATATAGGGTGAGGAAAACAGTAGTCACAACTCGCAATGTGTTAACAGTGTTGATAACCAATCAAATCAGTAACTTATGCCATTATATTAAAAATTGTTCTTCAAAAAGGTAAGAGCTATCAAACTTTAATCGAACCTTTCGGCATGTCAGATTTTTAATCCTGTCCAGGTTTTCCTTCCCTTCCTATATTGTGATACCAATGTCAATGACTTTGTTTAAAAGAATAGGTAAAGGCTAGAACCCCTGTCAGACTTTTATTTATGTGTCCAAGTTTTCCCTTCCTTCCCATAATTTGAAACCAATGTCAACAGCTTTGTTTAAAAGAATAGGTGAAGGCTAGAACCCCTGTCAGACTTTTATTTCTGAGTCCAAGTTTTCCCTACTTTCCTATATTGTGAAACCAATGTCAGCAGGACAAGAAGTAGGGATAAATCTCTCTTACAGAATCCTGAGCAGCAGTAAATATTCAGCAGGGATTTCTAATCCTCCCTTGTTCAATTAAAAAATAGGAAAACAATTTTGGCTTGACTTAAACGTTATTATTATAGAAAGGCTAGAGTATGTGCGCTGAATTTATACAGGATGATGTCATTCAGGACCAGAGGCTACTAAATGTGACTTTTATATATACAGCAACATCCAGTAGAGTTTGAAAATGCAGGCTGTATATGTGATTTTTAACAGACTGATTGTAGAAGCATCTGCTTATTTGGGTAAAACATTTTTTATGGATCAGTAAAAGTTTGATTGCTAAAATAAACAGGTAATCAACTTTTAAAATGATTTTGGTCAAATGTCCAGCTAAAATAATCAATATTGTAAAAAATATGCTAAATGACAATAATAAGCACACTAACCAAACACATGGGGGTTATTTACTAAAACGGCATGGTGCAAAATCTGGTGGAGTTCTGCATAAAAATCAGCTAGAAGGTTTCATTGTCAAAACTTAACTGGACAAGTTGAAGTCAGAACCTGGCTGACTACCATGCATACAGTCAGGTCCATAAATATTGGGACATTGACACAATTCTAACATTTTTGGCTCTATACACCACCACAATGGATTTGAAATTAAACAAACAAGATGTTCTTTAACTGCAGACTGTCAGCTTTAATTTGAGGGTATTTACATCCAAATCAGGTGAACGGTGTAGGAATTACAACAGTTTGCATATGTGACTCCCACTTGGTAAGGGACCAAAAGTAATGGGACAGAATAATATATAAATATTATAAATAATATATAAATATATGTCCCAATATTTATGGACCTGACTGTAGCTGCACCAACTTTCGAGTGCACCAGTTTTAGTAAATCTCCCCCTTTAAGTTCTCCTTGAGGGCTCGTTGATACTTGTGATGGGGGGGGGGGGGGTTGGGTGTGTGTGTGTGGGGGGGTTGGTAAAAAAGTGCAGTTCAGTTCAGCTGCACTTTTAGAGCCCCCCTTAAGCTGCACAGGCAGCCAAATGAAAATGAGGTGTACACATGCCATAACCACAGCAAAAAAATAAAAATAAAAAGGGATGAGATGATAGGATATGATACGATAAGAATGCCTTTATTGCCATTGTAAAATGAATTTAAGACACAATTATAATTATCCCCCTGTATCTTGTTTGCCGGGCAGCACCACCACCAAACTGGACCTATTTGAATTAATACAATACATGCAATACGTGACAATTACAGGGTTAGAACAGGTGGTGAGGAGATGACATATCGCTTCCTCATCGCCTGTCAGAAGTGATTCACCTTTTCAGGAGCAGAGGCAAGCTCTGCCACTATTGTAAACCCAGCCTTATAGTTCAATATCAGCCAAAACAGCTAAAAACACAGTTAAAATACATACAGCATGTACAATTTTTTTTTACTTGCTAAATGTTTTTTGTGCAGCCATGCTTGTGATCCGGACACCCCTATTTAAATAATAGGCAAGTCTTTGGACTCCAACAGCAGTACCAATATATGGTCATGAACAGGGGTGGACTGATAACTCATGGGGCCCCCGGGCAATAGGGGATCATGGGGCCCCCTGTGTCCTTGCCCAAACTCAAAAAAGCCTACGAAAAATGTACCGGGGCAACTCATGGGGCCCCCTACTGACCACGGGCCCTCGGGCAGTGCCCGAGTTTCCAAATGGTCAGTCCGCCCCTGGTCATGAACATGTTCACTGCCTACTGGACAAAATAGGAGCAGCTGCATATTGATGTTATTCCTCTGCTTACTTTTTATTTCAGCATTGTTAGCACATGTGCAATGCAGCTGAGCCTAGTTTAGTGCTGATTTAACAATACATTGTAACAGAAAACTATATTAATTTCAATCATTGGTTGTACCTTTGATCCAATGGACAAAGCAGATTCAAACTACATTAAGTCAACATATATGTATAATAACTTCTCATTTTAGGCAACTGCTGGTCAAAGTAGGAAACCCCAAAGTAGTCACAACAAAAGAGATGATGTGATTTCATTCATTTTTTCACACAGTATTCAAAACATGTTCAAGTAGATGTTCTGAGATATAGCAAATGTTAACCGTGTATTTCCATGGATTGGGAGACTCATTTTAATGAATAATGAATCAATAAAACATTCACAAGAAAGGAAACATACAGCATCATGGTTTCTGTTTTTATAATGGTTTAACAACTTACCCTCCAACAGTGGTTTAAACCACAAATGAAAAAAATAAATATTTGCAGACATTATAAAACCACACTTTAAGTGCTATTCAAATTCAACAATTTCTCACCAATAACCACTAAAAGAAAAATCTCCAGCACAGACATATTATACATAATATACTATAAATCAACGTATCCCGGGTGTATTATCTTATTGAATAAAATGTTGGTAATATTATAAAATGATTATTATATTTTTACCCACAACCAGCTCTAATAGTGGTTTGCGAACTCCTGCTTTTAATTTTATTTATATTTGGAAAATGCTGTTGTATGAAACCACCCTGCACACAATAAATACCAAACATTAGTGAGCATAAAAGTTCATGCAGACTCTAAAGCAACCATAGTTATCACTAATACTATGAATACTATAAAACTATGCAGTTCCTACGTTTGAATGTTTATAGAATAATCCACTTAAATAAATAATCCGTTGTTGTAAATTGTTTCATCCACAGTATTTTCAACATGATCTGAGCATTTTTTTCCTTTACTTTTTATTAGCAAAAGAAAAAATGTTTCCAGAAAAACAAAATACTAATATAAAATAATATTACAAAAAAAAAGTTAAGAAAGGAGACAATTCCTTCTCTGCTTCATCTATTGCAGTTCCACAATTTAGGATTATATATAAACAACAAAGAGCATGCGAATGTAATAAGACAATACAGAGAAAAAGGAAAAAAAAATGGCCATGTTAGTCCAAAACATAATGTTGTTTTCAAAGCGCCTTTAAAAACTCTGATGGCATCAACAACTAGCTTGTGTTTTCTCCTAGCAGACATTCCTGAGCAGGTCATGACAGTCACCTGAGTAACTTGGGACTGGCAGACAGTGACTGCTGTATGTGAGAACAATGGAGATATATCAGGAGCTATACATTGATTGATTTACTACTTGATATGTGTGTACATCGATGCCATGCATACAAGTGTTTCATATGCTCATGGGATATAGTATTATCTGTATGCACAGGCTAAACCAAATGTATGCCACATAAGCAGCGTCAGCCTCAAATAAAAAGGTGATTTTCCTATGTGTTTTGGCTCTATCTAGAATCTTTTAGCATTTTTAGATGTTTATATGATAAAGAAATACAACCATATAATGACATGGGGCTATTGAAAAAAAAAAACCTGTAAAAACATAATTTTTTTTAATAGGTAGGCAATGCATGTGGAGTATTATTGAGCAGGCATGGATATTTGTGTGTATGCTCAGAAGTTTAGGCACTAGTCATCGTAGAGTCGTACGTTAAATACAGATTGTAATTAAAAATACTTGTGCATATAGCAGCATAACATATGGGAAGGTTTCACATGCCGTTTAGCATGTCACATATGTATTACATTGCATAGCAATTATTATAATTTTTTGTTTTTAAATATCAGGATATTTTTAAGGACAACACCATGTGCATTGAACATGGATTGCACCTGTGCGTGTGAGCAAACATTTGAGCCCACAATCTATTCCTCCTCCCTGCTCTTATATATTTATGTAGTGATTCATCCTCACCAGGTTCCCATAAATGGTACTCAGCTAAAATAATGATACTATAAAGGTCCTTGTAAAGTCATTAAATCAACATAGTATTAGCAACTCAACCCACTCAAAGATGGATCTTGCGTGAGGTTTTTTTTTTATCCTTTGCATGCTTATGACATACCTTGCTGTGTTTTAGAAGCAAATATAGTCACACAAGGGTTGGCTTACTAAAACTGGAGGGTGCAAAATATGGTGCAGCTCTGAACAGAAACCAATCAGCTTTCAGGTATTGTTGTCAAAGTTTAATTGAACAAGCTGAAGTTAGAAACTGGTTGGCTATCATGCACTGCTGCACCAGATTTTGCACTCTCTAGTTTTAGTAAATCAACCCCAGTGTGTAAGAATGAGGTTTATTTCATTAACCACTTGCCGTCCGCCTGCTGTTTATAAACGGCAGGGCGGTGGCACTCCAGGGGGGGTTGCCGTTCATAAACGGCACCCGCCTTTTCTAGCTGTGCGCGCTCCCTGGGAGCGCGCAGCACCACGATCCGGTGCCCGCTGTTTCCTCCGGACACAGTGAAACACCGATCGTCGGACGGGACCTCTGTACGAGGTCCCAATCATGTGATCACTGATTGGCCAATCAGTGATCACATGCAAAGTAGTAAGCAAGATGTCACTTGTGACATCATTGCTTACTACGTGTGAAATCTGTGAATGATCACAGAGGTCTTATGGTACAAGGCTATTCACAACAGCCTTCTACCATGTGACAGGGTGTCACCAATCACAGCTCACTCAGTATTTCTCAATGGTTGCAAGAATGCAGACAGAGAGAAAGAGAAATGATTGCTTTTACATCCTATATGGGTGCAAAAGCAATCACTGTAAAAAAAAAAAAAAAAAAAAAAATCTTCATCACTCCCCACAAGTAGTACAGTGTCACCATGGTGACACTGTACTGCTAGGGTGACAGTATGTGAAAAAAAAAAAACATAAAAATAATATAAAAAATAAAATAAAAATGTAAAAAAAATTTTTTAAAAATTATAATTTTTGGTTATAAACTAATTTGGCTTATTTTTTTTTTTACTAAAAATATAACGGAATACATTTTGGTCAAGATTTATGATGAAAGATTATTTATTTGCAAAATGTTATAAGAAAAACATTTTTTTCAAAATTGTTGGACTTTTTCATTTACATAGCAAAAAAAAAAAAAAATCCCAGCAGTGAATAAATACCACCAAAATAAAGCTTTATCTGTTTCAAAAAAATGGTAAAAAAATTCATATGGGTACAGTATTGCATGACCGCGCGCAATTGTCATTCAAAGTGTGATAGCGCTGAAAGCTGAAAATTGCCCTGGACAGGAAGGGGGTAAAAGTGTCCAGACAGGAAGTGGTTAAGGATGTGAATTTCAATTCTGAAAAATAATTGGGACATGTTGGAATGATTGAAGTGAAGTCATGAGCGGTATTTCACTGGACTCAGTGCACATTCTACTCCATTAGTAAATCAACTAGATTTTGCAGTCTCCAATTTTAGTAAATCAACCCTAAAGTGTCTTACCAATAAACATTTTTAAAACTAAAGTGGAACACGTTTACATCATTTCTAGGGAATAAAAGCAATACTTTTATTATTTTTATTAAATAGGTTGGAAACTTGCTTCTCCTCATCATCGAGGAGGAATCAGAATAAGACATCTTAATGTATGTTGTAATCTTCTAACAGTGTGGGCATTTATGTTTAGGCTATGAGCACACTATGGGGTGGATTTATTAAAGGCAAATAGACTGTGCATTTTTCAAGTGCAGTTGTACTTCTTTTCCCCAGAGCTTAGTGAATACGGTGAAGCTTCACTTTGTAAAATATACCAAATCAGGTGGAGGGAATAAAAAAAACAGCACATGATTGGATGATAGAAATCAGCAGAGCTTCACCACATTCACCACAAGTTCTGTGCACAGTCTGTTTGCCCTTAGTAAATCAACCCCTGTGTTTTTTTAGGTTATGTGCATGTTTAAGTGTTTTGAACCCCCCCCCCATACCCAAGGTAGTAGTGACAAAATGATGACCAAATAAAATGACCCCACTAAAACTATCTTACTTAATTTAAAGAAAGATAAACATACAGTATGCTGTATATCTTAGACACAGTAGAGTACTGTAGTAAATATTTTAACAAATTATGACTTTTTGACTGATAATTCTTTTTTATTATTTTTAATTGTGTAAAACCCTTAATAGCTCACTACTGTATCACTCTGCCAACCGTCATCTAGTACCTGTCCCTTGCCCATCATTGGTGACAACCTTTTTTTCATAATAAATGGGCTAATAAGTAACATGTATGTTAATGATGCAGGACAAGACCTTCTAGGTATGCAAAATTACCATTGTGTAGGCCCCCCGATTTGGACTTTACTAGATCCAAATAATGGTACATATGATTTGATAACTTGAAACAGAGCCTTATGAGTGCTCCATGTCTTCATAATGTCATTTGGAATCCTTGATCACTAGTGTACACATTTTCAGTACACATTTTCAGCTGTCCTATCATTTTCTATATAGTTTAGACCTAAGGATTTGGCTGTGCATTAGGTAGATACAACTTACACTTACTAAAAAACCTGACAGGTTAAAGATAACAGCCTTGGAACATGGGCAAATAGAAATTGAAAGCAGATAAAAAGGAGAGACGTTCACTTAACCAGGAATGGCAGCTCCCATATTTCTATCCTCCATGTTTCTATAAAGTTTTAGTGATTAAACTTCTTTCGTGACGGGATTTAAATGCAACGCAGAATAAGGAGCAGCCCCAATCATTTCCAAAAATTGCTGTTGGATGATTTCCTATCCGTCGACATTTAAATGAAATTATGCAGGAGACCTCTACCCCACTACTGAGAGACATTAAAAAAGCAAGACTACAGTTTGCCAAAATGTACTTTTATAAGCCATTCTGGGAAAAC